GCTGTGCTGTGCTGTGCTGTGCTGTGCTGTGCTGTGCTGTGCTGTGCTGTGCTGCTTCGCAATTTATATTTCAGTAACATTTACATTTGCTCACAATCATTTAGATCAATAATGTCTGACTCGTATGCTGATAACAAAGCTTCCCAAGTTGGCATTGCTGTGTCTTTATCTATCCTAGTAGTGGCTGGCTTAATAGGGAATACCCTGGTTATACTGATCATTCTGACCAATAAATCCATGAAATCACCAATGAACTATCTCCTCGTCAACCTTGCTGTAGCAGACATCATGGTAGGGGTGTTTCTCGCACCAATATTTATCTTGAATCATTTCTTTACCCATCCCGAAGGTCTTGCAGGAAAATTTCTTTGTAACACGTTGACAGGCGGTAACATATCTTGGGTAGCTCTCGTTGCCTCGTCCTTTTCACTGGTTGCCATCTCAATTGAACGGTACTTTGCTATTGCACATCCTTTGTCTGCAAAGCAAAGACTGCCATTGATGAAAGTCAAACGGATAGCTACCGGCTGCTGGATCTGCGCCCTCATATTCAACATGCCATTGTTCTTTATCAGAGAGTTTGACAAAGAAAAGAATATATGCAAAGAACGGTGGCCAGAGAATCAGCCGTTGCTCGCCGTTTTTTACAGCTCAGCTTGGTTCTTCTTCACAGGAGTGTTCCCTATAGTCGTTATGCTGGTTCTGTACTCCAAGGTTATCTACATTCTTTGGTTCAAGCGCATTAATCGAGAACAAGTCACGCAGCAAGCAGTCTTAAGGTCAAGAAAGAGAGTGACTAAGATAGCAGTTATTGTTAGTATTGTCTATGCTGCTTGCATGCTTCCAAATCTCATCATGTATCTTATCGGTCATGCTAGCGAAGAACAAGAATATGATGTCTCCTTCATCGTGAGTCTAGTTTTGACAGCATTCAATTCAACCTTCAATCCTTTTGTCTACAGCTTGCAAAGCCAGGCGTTTCGACGCCATTTGGTTAAGATCGTGTTCTGCTACAAAGTGCGTCAAAATGAAGTGGGGATTACAGCTCGTGACCAAGCGAAATAAATGACGTTAAGATATGTCCGTCTGTCCGTCTGTCCGTCTGTCCGTCTGTCCGTCTGTCCGTCTGTCCGTCTGTCCGTCTGTCCGTCTGTCCGTCTGTCCGTCTGTCCGT